CCGAGGGAAAACGAAAACAATACGAACACCTGCAGGAGTGTGGGCGCCTGCTCGACGACTGGCCGAACGACCTCGTCCTCCCCTTCGGCGCGGACGAGGTCCCTCTTCGAGCGCGCTCCCCACTGCTCGCAGAGGGCCCATAGTCGCAAGCGTCTGGAAGACCATGCGCCTGTGCGCCTGCCCTGGCGTAATGGATCGGGATCCCCCGCGGCGGATCCAGGCCATTTGCGGGTTGTTACTTTGCGAGTAGTCGAACGCGCTTGGCTAATTCGTGCCATTTCGGGATCCTTTGGGGGGGCGTCGTCTCGGGTGTCCTTGGGTCTCGGAGCTGCGAGGACCTGCTGGCCGTCTTTGCCGTTCTCTTGCCATTGCCAGTCATGGAACAGTTCGCGCTCGTCTTCAGGGGCCTCTTCGACCCGCCATGGGGCCGGGGGTGTCTTTGGGTCCCTGGTGACCCTCCATAGGCCGCGTGGCCGCTGCGGGTCGACGACGACGACGATGACGACGACGACGATGACGATGACGATGACGACGACGTCGTCATCGTCGTCGTCGTGGGCACCTCTTTTGGACCGCCTGCCTGAGGTCATCGCGGCCATGCCGCGGGACGCGAAGGCCGTCGTGGGGCAGGGCGCGATCGAGGTGCTCAGGCCCGCCGGCCTCCCGAAAAAAGTGGGGCCCTCGAGCAGGGCGGGGCCCCCGAGAGGACCGCACCGCCCAGGGCTCCTCTCGATGCCTCCGGTTCGGTTCGAGTCCTCCTCCTCCTCCTCCTCCTCTTCCTCCTCCTCCTCCTCCTCCCCCTCCTCCTCCTCCTCCTCCTCCTCCTCCTCCTCCTCCTCCTCCTCCTCCTCCCCCTCCTCCTCCGATTCGGTTCGAGTCCGATTCCGATTCGAGTTCGATTCGATTCGGTTCGAGTCCGAGTCCGATTTCGATGATGTCCGATTCCGATTCGGTTCGACTTCGGCTCCCGATGCTGGCTCCGACTTCTCGGAGGAGGCCCACACCAGGCTGCCGATGTGTCCGCCGATGCGACGTCTTTCCCGACTCGGCTGCCGATGTTGCCGCCGATCCGATCCGGAGGGCGATCGCCGATCCGACTTGCCCCTTCGATTCTGGGCGGTCCTGGCCGCACGCCCGAGGCGCAGATCGGCGGCGCGGCTCGATGTGTTACGCCAGCGTCGCCGGTGCAGCGCCGACGACGGCGACGACGGCGACGACGACGCCGGCGCGGCTCGATGTGCGCCAGCGTCGCCGGTGCAGCGTCGACGTTTTGCCGAGTCATCGGCGACAGATCGGCGCCATACGGGGCTGGCGTGTCACCCCAGCATACCCAGAGATCCGACCCTCCAGGAAAGTCGGAGCGGCGGGATTTTGGCGGTTTTCGGCCTCTGGGGGTCCTCGTGGGGCCTCGGGAGAAGCAAACAAAAAAATGCAGGACGAGAGGTGGCCCCCGGAGAAGTGGTCTGGACCTCCGGAGCCCACGCACCGAAAAAAGGGGGGCGTTCCAAAGGTGGCTCTGCCTTCGAGGATCGAGGGGGTTGTCACCTCGTCCGCCGCGGAAGGCGGCGGAGGGGCCCGTGGAAGGTGGGGTTCAGCGTTTCCGGAATCGGCCATGCGGCATTTGGGTCCGGCGTGTCGCCCCAACATGCCAGTTTGAGGGAGTTCCTGTGGAACTCACGCCATCCTAACCCCCTTGGCATCGCTTGGACGTGTGCATGTTTCCTTCGGCGAGGACCATCGAGGAGCATCCTTGATCATTTGGCGGAAAAGCCACGCACGAAACCGAAAAAAACACAGGGAATGGACGTCCGAGCGATGGCCAGCCCCCGGCGCGTGTGAAAGCCAGGCCCCGCCGCGCCCCCAGGGACCATGCCCAGAGAGCGCACCGGGCGCGCCTTGGCGTGTCCCCGTCCCAGGGCTCTCGCTCGAGGCATCCTCGCAGAGTGTAGCCCACAGCATGCTATACTACGATGTGTGCGTCGCCCCCCCCGCGGCCGGCGCGCGCGCCGCGACGTCTCGTGGCATGAGCTCCGTGGCCGGCGCTCTCTGGTCATGCCGCGCAGGAGACGGTGTCCTATGATCAAGGGCATAAAAGACGCCCCTACCCTGGTTTACGAGGCGCTGTGCGCTGAAACTCCTGTGGGCTGACAGGGTAAACCTTGCGTGATGTGCCGCGTCCTGGCGGCTCTAGGCTTTGGGGGGGTCCCAGGAGGTTTGCAGACCATGCACTTGTAACCCAGGGTAGGGTCGTTTTTTTCATCCCTCAATATGAGGTGGTTGTGCGGCATGTTCGGGTCGGACGCACGCCTCCAAGTGGGGGGGGCTCTAGAGCAGGTCGCCGCAGGACTCGCTCCTCGCCAGCTGGCTCAGCGAGGACAACATCCAGAAGCTGGCCTCGGAGGCGCAGGCGGGGGGGAGCGCGCTGTTCGTGACGGCGTCCAGGGGGAGGGTGAGGGTGGTGCGCTGCGTGCCGCTGGTGATGCTGCGAATAAAGCGCCAGGACACGCGTCGGCAAACTGCAGTGGGTGTGGTCACGCCGGGGTATGGTTTGCGATCGGCGCCGTGGGGGACGGCGTGGTACGACACGGTCCTGGTCGGGCCTCCTCGGGGTGCGGCGGAGAACTCCATCGAGGTCCCCGCCCGCCCCCCGGGGTGCCCCCCAGTGTGCCAGTGGCAGGCCACATCCTTGGCAGAAGCCGAGCCATTTCGGATTCGCCGAGCATGGCGCGCTCCAGAGGGAGAAGAGGCCTCGCCTCCGAGAAGCGGAAATTCAGCGGAAATTGGTGGGAGTGAAGCGAGTGGGGCTCCGCAGGCCAGCGCAAGTACAGTGGGGGCGCGCCTCAAGAAATTCGATGCTTTTCGTCAGGGTGCCCTGGGTGTCTTCGCTCCGCGCGCTGCGCAGTGCCTTCCCGTGCCCGTTGAAGGTACTGTTGCGGTCAGAGTGCTCTGGGCCCCCCCCACTCGCATCGCGCGCACGGGGGCTTCAGGGCTATGTTCCTCGCGAGGGCTTCTTGCGGCCGCGCCCGCGCTGTGCCATCATTGCACCGCCAGGAGATGACAGCGCTTTGGGGGCCCAGGGTTTCCAAGGGACCTGTCGTATCGAGGGAGAGAAGGCGGCATGAGCGTTAGGTTTTCGGAGGTCTGCTCAGATCTTTCTGCTCGGGGATGCACTTCCTTGGAGGCGCCCCGCCTCCCACGCCGCCCCCGGCCCGCTCCGCTCGCCAGATGGTGGCGCCCAGCGCCGATCCAAGAAGTCTGCCCGGACCTCCGAAGTTGCATGCTCAGGCCGCTTGAGCTCCCTCCAGCCAGGCAGGCCCAGGATAAGGATACAGTGCTCCAGAGCGCCCCACAACGCTCTCAGAGCGCTCCAGAGCTCTCTGGAATCGCCGTGGCGCCCGGTACTGTGCCGGTCTGGTTTTGGCCTTGTCCTGGTTTCGTGTTCCGCTCATGCTTACGCCGCACGCCTGGGGCTTGGGGTGACGCATCGACCCCCAATCGCCCATTCACCGCCGATAATAGCCTCGCCCGCCAAGGAGTGCGCGGACTCTGTAGCAGAGGCCCATCGCCGATCTGTTGGCCATGCCTCGCTGATTCCAGGTCGACGTTTCCCCCCCGAGCTTTCCCCCCCTTCGCTGCGTGGCTGTCCGCCGCGGCGGCCCTCTATCATAGCCGTTCCTCCCCTCGCCAGCCTCCAGCGAAGGCCAGGGCTGGGACGGGCCAGGGTGTCTCGGGGATGCCCGCTGCCCGGCAGGCTCGCTGAAGAGGCCGCGTTTGCGCTCCCACGCGTGATCCGACAGGGTCCAACCAACCAACCAACCAACCCACCAACCCACCCAACGTTGCCCCCGAGCTCGTCCTTCCTCTAAGTTAGTAGGCTGCTTTCCGCATCTCCCCTTCTCCGCGCTGCCGTCTGCGGCCTCGTGCTTGCCGGTGCTGGTGTGGCCCACGCCTTGCAGTGCGCGTTTGCCGCTCGTCGATCCGCCCTGTTTGGCGGCTTGTACACTGCGGCTCGCTGGTTCATTTCGCCTCCGTCCTCCACCGCCTCTCCCCCTCCTCCTCCTCCTCCTCCTCCTCCTCCTCCTCCTCCTCCTCCTCCTCCTCCTCCTCCTCCTCCTCCTCCTCCTCCTCCTCCTCCCTCCCTTCCTCCTCCTGGTTCCTCGCGCCTCCTGTCCGTTTTGGTTCAAGATGTTGGCAATTGGGGGGGCCTGGCGCCTCCGTGCCAAAAGGGATACCGCTGTCACCGCGGCCAGCCTTCCGCGGCCGCGCCCAGCCCCTGTCTTCCCACTCGCGCCTGCTCGCGCCTGGGACCGAGGGCGGTGGCTCCACACGCACAGGAGCGAACAAGAAGACCCCTGGTTCTCGTCGTGCTGCTGCTGGTGCAGGTGATGGTGATCGTGGGGATGATGGTGCAGATAGGAGACACGACGATGGGTCTCGTTCCAGCCTCGTCCGCAGCGATGATGAAAACGGCATGGATCCAGAGAGTTGGGATGCCCATATCAAAGACCCAATTGACGAACAGTTCAGTATTCAATTTAAGGCCTTCAAAGATAGCTCACTAGCATGGTCGCTACCACTGCGAGTGCAGCTGCTGGGACAGCTGTTCGCCCTGTCATGGCGGCCATCAAAGCGGTGGAAGAGGCGGCCAAATTGGTTCCGAACGCTTACAAAGCGCATGTGCAAGCCACGTTCCGTGCTGAAATAGATGCATTGAAGAAACGATGGCAAGCGCAGTTGGACTCTCGCTCTCTCTCTCTCTCTCTCTCTCTCTCTCTCTCTCTCTCTCTTTCTCTATATCTCTCTCTCTCTCTCTGTCTGCAAATGTGGCGGCGATTGACGGGAGGACCAACAATATTGTTGCTGAGCTGGCTGACATGCATGCAACCATGGACGAGATGCGGCGCGAGCTCGCTCTCGCCAACAGAGTTCCGCCGCCGCCAAGGCCTCCCAGCGTTGGTTTCCAACGAGAAGTGGACGCTACCATTATCAAGATGATTGCGCCCGCCATCGTCAAGAAGACGGACGTGACATCGCACGTGTGCAAGTGGCTCAGTGACGCGAAGATAGAGGCTTGCACGGTGGCGGGAGAGGAGCAGGATCGGATCTCCATAACACTTCACGGGGGCAGTCGCTGTCGCTGGAAACCGCGTCGTTCAGGCTCTCGGCGCCCTTCGTCCCCCTGGCAAGGCGCAGTGGATGCGCCCCCCAGTCCATGCGGCACCAGGAGGCCCCACGCGTTTGCGCGTGGGCCATGACAAGGGACCGTTTCAGATGAATCACTAAATTGCTGGGAAGAAAGTGGCTACTGCTCTCGACGGGCGCCCCCCCCGTGGTCAAGTTCTTATTTGACAGGCAGAATGGTTGGATCACCGAGAATTGGAGCCTGGTCCTCGCGCTGGAGCCCCGTGCACCAATCGCGGCTGGACCCGCGCTGAAGTGCGAAAGCGCATCGGCCGAAGTCCTCACCCAATGCGGCACCATAGTGGCCCACGCAGCGTCTACGTCGACATCGTCGCGCGCGCGGGGAAAGGGGGGCACGCCACAAAGGCCGAAGGGCTGACCTTCACTTTTTGGAGTGCGAGGGCGACGCTGGCGCGGTGTCCGCGCCATGTCTAAGGCCACCTACATGCAAAAGGCGGGCATTTCGCACCCGGCCAGGAATCCAGGGAGCCCACCAGTCGCTGGAGGAGCTGAAGTTCCCCATGGGCAGAGCGGCGCTGGCGCCAGTGGTATTCGGACCGTTCGCGCGGGATCGGGGCGGCCATGCGCGCGGCGGCGTTGCCGCGGCCGCGCCCTCTTCATCGCCGGCCTCAGCGTCAGCGAAGTCGTCTACTCTGGTTTGGAAATGAATGCTCAAGACGGCTTCGCGCGGCGCACAAGCCGAGACTCGCCGCTGCAACATTCGCAGCAGGGGGCTTTCTGCAGGGGGCGCGCGGAAAGTGATTTCAGGATTGGAAAGCGAAATTTCTCGGGTTCAAGCGGGCGCTGCATCGCGGTTGGCGGTGGCCTTTGGCGACTTCAACTCTGCCTCTCATGATTCCCTGCAGCTCGCTCGCCCTGAAGCTGCGAGCTGCGGGGGATTTTGAGATCGCCAACAACGCGCGCGCATGAAGACCTGGATGGCAGCGCCGGTCAAAATTTTTGGGGTGACCTCCGAGGGCCCCGCGCACTTCTCATAGAATTCCGATTCGTTGGCGCAGATAGCTCGCATCTGGGCGTCTGCGCCGAACTGGCCCCCCAGTCAACCCTCAACGCGCATGGCGCCTCGACATCTGAGGAGCTGCCGCCCAAGATATCTCTGACGGCGCCGCCGTTCGGGGCCATTCCGCATCGCCGGCAGGACGCAGCTCCTCGGAAGGCGGCGCCACTGGCCATCGACTAGTGCCTTGAGTTTCGGCGGCGCCTAGATATTTTACATTCGCAAGATGCCTGCTCTTTCTCCCCCATATCGCCCCCGTCGGCAGCCCGAGCGGCGCGGGGTCTTGATGGGCGCGGCCGTCTGCGACGCGCGTCGCCAGCCGCCGGCCAATGACCTGCTCAACATATGGGCCCGGCGCATTTTTCCGGCGCGGCAGGCGGCGAAGGCGATCGGGTGGCAAGACACGGCGCTGGCGCGGAAGGTCTACAACGCAGCGGAGGCGGCTCGCCGACGCGCTGGTACCATTCGAGATGGCGCGAGTCCGATCAACCCAGTGGCGTTCCACGCCCAGGTGGATGCGATCCAGCATGCCGCTGCCGAGCAGGAACTCGCCGAGCTTCAACGTGATGCGCTAAGCCCTCTGCTGGCACCATGGCTGCGAAGCAGAGGAGAGCTCTCTTGCGGGTGCCCTTCGCGAAGCGGCTCACTCTTCTCTTCTCCGACTGCGGCCCATTCAGGCGCTCCTGCCGAAGGGATGTCGAGCTCGCGACGATGGCAAGAAGGGCGCCATACGCGCGCCCGACACCGTTGGAACCCTGGGGCTGCGCAATATGGAAATAAATCCCTCCGGCGATTGTCAGCTTTGCCTTTGCCCCGATCGTCCAGCAGACTACGCCAGCGGCCCAACGCGGCCTTCTCGCAGGTTGGCCATTCACTTCCAGCATACTCGAGTTGCACGAGCGCAAGCAAACGCTTCTGATCGCGCTCGACTTCAGACGCGCGCCCGCCAGCTTCAGCTAGGAACTCCTTTCGCGGTCTTGGAGCATCTTCAGCTTGGATCCCACTGCCCCTCTGTTCTGAAGCAGTTGCACAGGAGGGGTCACAGAGGACAGAGTTATCACGCAGTTTGGACGGAGCAGTGGACTCAGCACGGGCCGGGCTTGAAGTGCTCCGAAGAAAGCGCGCGCACCCTGATCGCAAGCATATGGCTATATGCGGACCGAGGACACTCGGCTTCCCGTCGTCGCCCTCGCGTCTGCTCCGCCCCCCCCCTCTGCCCCCCCCTCCTGGACGGCGTCGAAAGCGCCCGCGGCTCGGGCGGGCGGGCGCCACTTTCCGCATCCCCCACTATTCATTGTTCC